CAGGGGAGAAACCTTTTGAATGTTTAGAGAGTGGAAAGACATTTTGTCAGAGTGGTTATCTTCAACTGCATCAGAGAACCCACACAGGGGAGAAACCTTTTGAATGCTCAGAGTGCGGAAAGAGATTCAGTCAGAGTAGCACTTTTCAACTGCATCAGAGAACCCACACAGGGGAGAAACCTTTTGAATGTTTAGAGAGTGGAAAGACATTTTGTCAGAGTGGCTATCTTCACCTGCATCAGAGAACCCACACAGGGGAGAAACCTTTTGAATGCTCAGAGTGCGGAAAGAGATTCAGTCAGAGTAGCAGTCTTAAAGTGCATCAGAGAACCCACACAGGGGAGAAACCTTTTGAATGCTCAGAGTGCAGAAAGAGATTCCTTGACAGTAGTACTCTTCGGAAGCACCAAAGAACCCACACAGGGGAGAAACCTTTTGAATGCTCAGAGTGTGGGCAGAGATTCAGTCAGAGTGACAATCTTAAGAAGCACCAAAGAACCCACACAGGGGAGAAACCTTTTGAATGCTCAGAGTGCGGAAAGAGATTCAGTAGGAGTGCCCATCTTCAACTGCATCAGAGAACCCACACAGGGGAGAAACTTTTTGAATGCTCAGAGTGTGGAAAGACATTTTGTCAGAGTGGCTATCTTCAACTGCATCAGAAAACCCACACAGGGGAGAAACCTTTTGAATGCTCGGAGTGCAGAAAGAGATTTACGCAGCGTGGCAGTCTTAAAGTGCATCAGAGAACCCACACAGGGGAGAAACCTTTTGAATGCTCGGAGTGCAGAAAGAGATTTACGCAGCGTGGCAGTCTTAAAGTGCATCAGAGAACCCACACAGGGGAGAAACCTTTTGAATGCTCGGAGTGCAGAAAGAGATTTACGCAGCGTGGCAGTCTTAAAGTGCATCAGAGAACCCACACAGGGGAGAAACCTTTTGAATGCTCGGAGTGCAGAAAGAGATTTACGCAGCGTGGCAGTCTTAAAGTGCATCAGAGAACCCACACAGGGGAGAAACCTTTTGAATGCTCAGTGCAGAAAGAGATTCAGTGTCAGTCGCAGTCTTCAACGGCATCAAAGAACCCACACAGAGGAGGAACCTGTTGACAGCTTAGAGTGTGAAAAGAAATTTAGTACCAGTGGCAATCTTCAACTGCATTGAAGAAGCCATACGAAGCGTGCAAATGGATTCACTTTTAGTGACACTTTTCTACTGCATCGAGGAATCCACACAAGGAGAAATTATGTAATTGCTTAGTTGTGAAAAGAGCTTTTCTCCCATTTCACACCTAAAAGACAATAACAGATCATATAAAGTACTGAAATACAATACCGTAAGAAGCTTGCAACTACACTGAAACCTTCCGCTACTCTGGAAGAAATGTTATAAATACTCAGAGTGTGGAAAGAGCTTTAGTCATGTTCAAAACCTCAAAAGGATCCCACAGGGAAGAAAGGAAGAATGGGCAATGGTTTCTGCTGCATGAAGAGTTAGCTGATCTCTCCTTTAACATCGCGGACTCTTCCCATAGAAGGAACCTTCTCAACGTTCAATGTGTGGCAAGAGCTTGAGGTAAAGGTCCGATCTTCATGTTCATCAGAGTATGCATACGAAGGGTAAACTTTCCTATAGCTGGCCCTGGTGCTGGAATTTCATAAGGGCTGAGAAAGTAGTTACACAAAGGAAGGCGTTTTTCATTTTTCCCCTCCTCTGTGAAACTTGCTACTGGCTGCTACGAATAGAAATTAAGTTATTGGCTTGCTCCTATTTTTTGACTTGACTTTTTATTGGGGATACTGACATACCTGTTATTAAAAAGCATATGTATAAATTCAAAGTGTATGTATCATATAGCAGTTTACTTTTTTAGTGTTAATGTTCTACACCTTTAAGGGATAAGTATAACAACATGCAGCTGTCTGGAATCCATTAGATAGTTCCTTTAGAACTGCTTTTCAGAGTGAGAAGTGTGGAGCATTGTCGGCCTATTTCTAAGAAGGCTTTCAGCCAGATAGATATGAAATGCTGAAATGCACTCACTAATAGAGCTACCAGCCAACAATGTGAAATGGAGAGCAAATGCCAGCCCATTTAAAGTAGGCCTGTTGCCACACAAAAAAATTTTGGACTGGCTGCTACGAATAGAAATTAAGTTATTGGCTTGCTCCTATTCCAGTATATGCAATGGAACTGAAAGTGAGTTTAAAATTATTCTAGTTAAAAGTGATAACATAATTATTACATTCAGCTTCATGTTTGTTTCTACTCCTCAAAACTATGCTTTTTACAGGATAATTTACTAAGAAGTAAACACCTTCCAACTTTATAAGATTACTCATAGGAAGATAGCTGAAATGAGTGTAAAAACCGGTGTACTCATCAAGAAAGAGAAAAGAGAAATGCTGGACTCTGTTGAGAAAATGAATAAGTTGGACTCTGTTTTACTGCAAAATGTCTACAGAATTTATTAAATGTGTCATTGTCATTTTATCACAGTGGTTTCTTGTTTGTTGGCAAGTATTTGCACACTGTGACCCCTTATTATATCTTTTTTGACTTCAGGTTATCTGCCATTTTAACTCTGACATCTTCAAAACTGGCCAAAAAGGTTCCTTTCTGAAATTGGATGAAGCAATAGACAAGTTTACAGGGTAACGGATACGTACAGCTTCTCTCCTACAGGTGTAACCATAGTATGATCAGCTGGTATCATTAATTAACATAAGAACATAAGAGACACCAATGTTGGATCAGGCAAAAGGTCCATCCAGCCCAACACTCTGGGTCACACAGTGGCCAGAAATACCAGTGTCATCAGGAGGTCCACCAGTGGGGCCAGGACATTAGATGTCCTCCCACTGTTGACCTTCCCAAACACCAAGAAAACAGAGCATCACTTGCCCCAGAGTCCCTATCTATACCTTGTGGCTAATAGCCACTAATGGACCTCTGCTCCATATGCTTATCTAATTCCCTTTTAAAGCTGTCCATGCTTGTAGCCACCACGACCTCCTGTTGCAGTGAATTCCATGTGTGAATCATTCTTTGGGTGAAGAAGTACTTCCTTTTATCCGTTCTAAGGGTGTGAAGACAGTGTTACAGAGGGACTATAATGATGGAAAGTGAGCCTTAGGGAGGGAAGCAATGGAAGGGCTGAGGAAGCAAAGTAGAATATTCTGCAGAGTGTGTTTTGTTGAGAGACCCCATGCATAATCTTATAAACCTCAATCATGTCTCCCCTCAGTCGTCGTTTCTCCAAGCTAAAGAGCCCTAAGCGCTTTAACCTTTCCTCATAGGGAAAGTGTTCCAACCCTTTTATCATTCATGTTGCCTTTTTCTGTACTTTTTCCAAAGCTATAATATTCTTTTTAAGGTGTGGTGACCAGAACTGCACACAGTATTCCAAATGAGGTCGCACCATTGATTTATATAGGGGCATTATGATATTGGCTGATCTGTTTTCAATACCCTTCCTAATAATCCCCAGCATAGCATTGGCCTTCTTTATTGCAGTCACAAACTGTCTCGACATTTTCAGTGAGTTATCCACTACAACTCCAAGATCTCTCTCTTGATCAGTCTCTGCCAGTTCAGACCCCATCAACGTGTATTTATAGTTAGGATTTTTGGCTCCAATGTGCATCACCTTGCACTTGGCCACATTGAACCCCATTTGCCATGTTGACGCCCACTCGCCCAAAATTGACAGATCCCTTTGGAGTGCCTCACAATCCTCACTGGTTTTCACCACCCTGAACAACTTTGTATCATCCGCAAATTTAGCCACTTCACTGCTTACTCCCATCTCCAAATCATTAATGAACAAGTTAAAAAGCAGTGGACCAAGTACTGATCCCTGCGGTACCCCACTGCTTACCACCCTCCACTGAGAAAATTGCCCACCTACACTCACTCTCTGTTTTCTATGAACTAGCCAGTTTTTGATCCATAAAAGAACTTGTCCTTCTATCCCATGATTTTTGAGCTTACTTAGGAGCCTTTGATGAGGAACTTTATCAAAAGCTTTCTGGAAGTCAAGGTAAATAATATCTATTGGATCCCCCTTGTCCACATGTTTGTTCACCCCCTCAAAGAACACTAACAGGTTAGTGAGACAAGATCTTCCCTTACAGAAACCGTGCTGAGTCTGCCTCAATAGGTTTTGTTCATCTATGTGCCTACTAATTCTTTCCTTAATAATGGTTTCCACCAATTTACCCGGTATCGACGTCAGACTGACTGGCCTGTAATTTCCCGGATCTCCTCTGGAACCCTTTTTAAAGATGGGAGTGACATTAGCTACCTTCCAATCCTCAGGAATGGAGGCAGATTTTAAGGAAAGATTACATATCTTTGTCAGGAGATCTACAAGTTCACATTTGAGTTCTTTCAGAACTCTCGGATGTATGCCATCTGGGCCTGGTGATTTTTCAGTTTTTAAGTTGTCTATCAGTTTTAGGACCTCCTCTCTCATCACCTCAATCTGACTGACCTACCCTAAAAATAAGCCCTAGCAGGATTTCTATGCATTTGTGGTATAAGCCCTAGTGTGTCTTCTTGAGAATTTTCCAGGGGAGCTGATCTACATTTACAGGATAAAGTAAAGAACCCACTACTAACTAAAAACCCAAGAGAGGAGATCCTCTTATTAGCTTAATTACATCAAATCTTACCTTCATTTATATTGTTACAAACTGAGTCAAACATTTATAGTACTTTTCCTTTAAATCATAAATGTAACTGTCTAAAAGCAGTACCCCCATTCATCCCATTTCAAAGTTCTCAAAGGCACAATTCAGAGTCCTTCAGCCTTCACTTCTCGTTTCCCCGTCTCTTCCGCAACTTGTAAGGACTTTTTGGGGCTGCTGCCCCTTGCTCTGTCAGAGAGTCCTCTCCAGAAGAAACCAAGTCCAGCTCGCCACTAGACTTGCTGTCCTCTTCTTTTTTCCCATCCTCTTTCATAATAGAGTCAATCTTTTCTTTTTTATCCTTTATCTTGAAGGTGACACCTTCTGGAAATAGCCATTTATATCCAATTGAATTTGTCTGAAGAAAAAGCACCAGCTCTTTGTACTTCTTTCTCCTTTGTCTTACTTCAAATGGAATATCCTTTAGCGTTCTGATAGTATTCTCCCCCACTTTCAGGGATATTATAGAGACCGCTTTCAGGATTGCATCCCTCACATGCCTTTTCGAGAATCTTACGACAATTTACCCAGGCAGATTATTTTTCTTTATGTAGCCTGAATATGATCTATAGACCACATCCATATCGCTTAGCAACGATTCCGCCTTCATCTCCGTCACTGGGGCTAGTAGTTCGCTCATCACTTCTTTAAGATTCTCCCCCTTGTTCTCTGGCATGCCCTGGAAGCGAAGAATCATATTGGCCTTTTTCATTTGCAATTGCAGCAGCTGATCTTCCATGGAGCTTTGTTTCCTTTCCATCTTTTGCACTTTTTTCTTCACCTTTTGAGTAGTTGCAGCCACTTCATATACCTTCTCAGTATTCTGCTTCATTATTTGCAGTGCATCATTTATCTGGGTTTGCTGAGCCGTCATACATTGAGTCACTGTCGACATCAGCTCCTTGAAGTTATTCAGGTGTTCCAGCAGAGGACGCATGTATTCTGCTATAGCCTTTGCCACCTCACTGGTAGCCTCCGGTTTTGGGCTCTCAGTCCCTTTCACTTTCAAAAGTTTTTCTTTGTCCTTCTTCCCCGCCATCTTTGTCGTTTGTTTACTTTCACAATTTTTTTAAAAAGTCTCTGAATGTGTGCTTGAATGCTTAGACTCGCTTGGGTAAGTACTTCTAGACAATTTCCTTCGCGTTTTCTTCCATTCCCCCCCTCAATCGCTCAAAGGTTCATGTGCATGTGAGGCGTCTCTCCCCCGCTCGCCCTTTTCCCATTCAGTAGGGTGAGGTGGGGAGCTATCTTTTTCCTTTACAAATGCTTTAAAACTGACTCACGTTCATAATTGGTCTTCCGACCTCGTTTTCGGCTTCATTTCTGACGCTCGA